CCAGCCAGCCCTCATCATTCACCGCGCTGGCCCGAGATGCGCCCGCTCCCTCGCGGCCATCGACGCGCATCCTCTTTACCGTCGCATCAACGCTGCCACTCTCATTTGTGGCCCATCCCCCACTCGCGCCCTCCGCAACTCGCGCCACCTCGCCTTGAGCGCTCGTGCGCGGAACATTCGTGCGCGGATGCGCTTCTTGTGCCCCTCGCTCCACGCGCGGCGGAGACGGCATCTGTCTAGGGGGTTCCGGTGCACTGCGGTCCAAACTTTGGCCTCCACGCGCGGCCTCACTCTCTTCCCTTGGTGCTGCGTCGCGTGCTCGATACCTTCTCCTTCGATGGTAGTGCCTGAGATGCGTTTTCCACGATGTCAGATGCATAGGGCGGCACTGGGCGCACAGATCGAGCATGGCCCATTGGCGCTAATGGCACAAAATGGTTCTGGTTGACGCGGGCCGCGCATAACTGCTTCCTTCGATTCCTGTCGGCCGCGGGCGGCAACCTGTCGCCATTCCCGGCCCGCGTCATGCCGACGCACGCGATCTCGCATCCTGCCGACCTCCTACGCATGACATCCCTTGCCCTGTCGGCGCCCTCCAGAAGGTCAACGATGTCCTCCCAATAGAGACTCAACTCGAGATACTCACCAGGGGTCATAGCCGTAGCAAGGCCCTTGTGTATTCTTTCCAGACGCCCCCGTACCTTCACGACGCTGCCCTCGGGAATCACAAAGCCCGACTGCCGATTGAGGAGCCTCCGCAGCGTGTCGATGAGACACTTATTATTATGTCCAGATGCCGACCCCAGCCCGAAATGCTGGCCATCGACAACGATCTCGAGCTCGAGCCCCTCGTACCAGAAAGGCTCACACTGAGCCTTCGGTAGGCGCTCGCCGTTGACTTTGACGAAAATATCCGTTTGGCTCACATGCCCCGTGGCGTCACCCATGCGAGCGCCCTCGTGCTCTGAGCGGTCCTGGAGGTAATGCGGGCATTCAGGATCACTGTTGTTCTCGTGTGTGTTGTTGTAGCCGCAGGCGTTGCAATCGAAACGATAATAACCGCGAGTGTCTCTGAAAGAGAACTCCACCGCATCTGGCGCGTTGGCAGCCTGCTCTGGAACGGCTCTGCTCGTCGCGCACCCAGATCGTCTGAGGGCTGCTCGGAAATGTTCCGCCCTGGACGCCCCGAAGAGATCCGCGGCGTCGCGCTCGTTTCGGCGATGCGGTTTCGACGGGCGCGAGGAGGCACACGCTGCTGATCGCTGCTCAAGCTGAGCCGCCGCATCGGGTCCGAGGCCGCGTTCTCTCTCAGCTTTCCGACGCGCCTCGGCAGCGACCGCCGCCAGCCTGGCTTTGTAGCCCGCCCCTGTCGACTCGGCACTCGCGCTCGCGCTACTGCTTGCCGCCGGAGCCACGTTCTTGCTGCCACGAGACGCGCATGCCGCGCAACGTCGCCACGGGGCCTGCACCGGATCCCCCTCCACCCCGTTCAACGAACCGCGCCCATGCGCGACGCGAACTACATGTCCCTTGGACAACCAAACGGCTGATCCGACGCAGCGGCCACCCGCATCACCCAACCGCAACCTCCTTCCCTCCTCTAGAAGATCCGCAACGTGTTCGGCCTCGTACACCCACGCGAAAGCCTTGCGCTGGCACAACCACCGCTGGACCGCGTCCACGTTCTGTTCTTCCACCCGACCCGCCCCGCCAACACCAGACCATGCACGATTGGCGCACTCTCTCTCTCTCTCTCTCTCTCTCTCTCTCTCTCTCTCTCTCTCTCTCTCTCTCTCTCTCTCTCTCTCTCTCTCTCTCTCTCTCTCTCTCAACAAAAAACGCAAACTTCACGGCGCCAACGACCGCGCTGCATACGCGCTACCGCATCTTGCAAGCACTTATTCTCCCAGGGCCCCACGATTGCGTCGTCTGCCGCCAGAGTCGCCACGGAGGTCGTCGGCGCGCGCGCCACGCACGCCGCCCACGCAATAACCATGAAGAGCATTCCACCACCAATGGTCTCGAAGGGCAAACCACTGCTCCATGCGCATGTCGCGACGCCGTCGTCACACTCGTCGCTACCCCCCCCCTGCCGGCGCACCTTTCTGTCCACGCCACTCCCTGGCGACAGACGCACGCGAGCTGCGCGGGCGCGCCCCACGCGGCGTGCTTCGCGGCCCAACACCCACGTCGCGATACGCAGCAACCCAGACGGATTCGAAGCATGACCGAGCCCAACAAAAAGGATTGTGCGTAACACGTCGAACAACGAAGCGTCGACGACGCGTGCTGTCTGCCTTCCTGCTGAATTGTTCCGACTTGGTGATTTCGTCACCGCCGTGCACGCGCTTCGCTTCTGGGCATCACCCGTCCGCGCTGCAGGGCTCCGACAGTCACAGGCGCCGCCTCCTTTCCTAGCGACACTATGACGCCCATGACGCGCAGAGCCGGAAAGACGACGGCAGTTCACAGCGAAGCTCCATTTACGCCCTCTGAGAAACCTACGACGCCGAGCAGTGCGACCGCGGGAAGCTCCAACAGAAAAAGAGCGGCTGATAACATCACCACAAACACCTCCGCAAGCACAGCCCAGAGCACTCGAAGAACAGCGCTTTCGATGCGCATTGCAAGAAACACGGCGGCGGCAGCCAACATTACGCGCACCTCTACGACAGCGGACGCCGACGACACCGCGACGCGAGCGCCTGACACCGCGCCATTGACCGGCAGCATAACCACCACGAAAACCACCGCGCCGAAACGAGAATTTCAAAATTTGCGAGCGCTTCCCCCTTCTACGACAACACTGACCGACAACGTAACCACGACGAGAACCGCCGCGCCGAAAAGGGTCACCGCGCCATTGGCCGGCGGCATAACCACAACGGGAACCACCGCGCCGAAACCGAAACGTCAAAATTTGCGAGCGTTACCCCTCTCTACGACAACACTGACCGACAACGCACCCGCGACGAGACCCGCCGCGCCGAAACGAGACACCGCGCCACTGACCGGCAGCATACCCACAACGAAAACCACCGCGCCGAAACGGCACTTTCAAAATTTGAGAGCGTTCCCCCCTCCTACGACAACACTGACCGACAACGCAACCGCGACGAGACCCGCCGCGCCGAAACGGAACACCGAACCACTGACCGGCAGCATAACCACTACGAGAACCACCGCGCCGAAACCGAAAATTTCAAAATTTGAAAGCGTTTTCCCCCTCCTACGACAACACTGACCGACAACGTAACCGCGACGAGACGCGCCGCGCCGAAACGGGAAACCGCGCCACTGACCGGCAGCATAACCACGACGAAAACCACTGCGCCGAAACGCAAATTTCAAAATTTGCAAGCGTTTCCTCCTTCTACGACAACAGCGAACGACAACGTAACCGCGACGAGACCCGCCGCGCCGGAACGGGACACCGCGCCACTCACCGGCGGTGGAACCACAACGAAAACCACCGCGCCGAAACGGAAATCTCAGAATGTGCGAGCGTTTCCCCCTTCTACGACAACACTGACCGACAACGTAACCGAGACGAGAACCGCCTGATCGGGACCACATCAACGTTAATGGAGCAGTTCGTGGATCTATGCAGCGACGCGGCAGGGCCCTGGAGGACCCCGCCACGACGCGCCCCTCTCGGGGGACCGGCCTGACACCGGCTGACCCGAAGGCCCTTGCAAGAACGCGGGTGTGCCACTGCTGACACACGCCACGAACCACCCCGTTTCCAGGGGACCGGCTTATGGACACTGGCACTCCCGCGACGTCAACGGGCACGTGTCCGCGGGAGTCGGGGAATTCGTGCCCCGCGGGTAGAACGTTTCCGGTCGCACGCGCGCGCCGCTCCTCCGAGCGCGCGTTCCGCCCCGTCATACGCTCACCATGCGAACGCACCTGCCAATGACAACGAAAACGTTTTGTGAGCGAAGATGGCACACAACGGCACCTGCAACCGCCTCCGCGCACGCTATCAACAACAATGGCACCAAGCAAACCGCAGCTGGGACCGACGCCGCCGTGTCGACGGAAGCAGACAACAACATCATTACCCCGATCGCACCCCACGCCAGCATCGCACCGAACGCCCCGGCCACGACCCACAACGCCATCGCAAAGGCGGCAACCAGCACCAGGACAACGACGGCAGCTGTCAGAACCGCTACCATCACGACGGCGGCCCGCCGAAACGCCACTCCGAACATCGCGACGGCGATCAGCAGTGCCACCCCGACAGCACAGGCAAACCCCGCAAAGGCGACCGCGAACGGCACCTGCACCCCAGCAGTGGCAGGCCCACGCGGCAACGACACGACCCCCCCCACCTGTGGGCATCAACACCGCCCGCACGACGGTGCGACCCCGCTGACCAACCACCATGACGGGAAACAGCAACGCCAATGACACGACGGCAGACGGCAGCCGTACCACAAACGTCGCGACCACCATGGCCAGACGCTTCACCGCAACGGCGGAGGCTGCCAATAAACCCATCACCGCTACAACATCCACCACCACCATTTGACAACCAACTTTGCAGAAGTAACCCCTTTCGGGGACGCCCCAAAGGGCACGGGCTATACCCGCTAAGTGCCAATCGGCACCTCGACTTTACGGCAAGTCGGCACCCACGACTTTACGACCCCACGACTGATACGGACAGTCGGCACCCCACGACTTTCACGGTAAGTCGGCAACCGTTTCGCCATGGCTTCCGCCGCCGCTCGCGCCCTCGGCCCAGGGCGGGGTCCCGGCAGAAGCAGGAACAGCCACTGGTGGTTTGAGTGCGCGCGGCCGAAAAGTAAACTGTTCCCCACTCCTCCTGCTCCCCCTCTTCCTCCTACTCCTCCTCCCCACAATGTCCACCTAATATCCTTCATGCCCAGTCCCTCGCCATCTGACTTCATCTCGCCAGCCCCCACACACACAACGTTAGGACGTCTTGCTTCTGCTGTTGTTCATCCTCCGTTTTCCTCCCCCTCTTCATCACCGCTAACAACAAGGCATACGGCGGAGCCCCTGCTGCTGCGACTGACCCCCGCCCCTGCTGATGACGAGAGACAGAAAGCAAAGGAGGAGAACGGAGAAGATGCGAGGGCGAACGAAGTGCCGCAGGGCTCTGGACGTAAGGACGGCCACTTTTGTAGAACACAGCGCATCTAGATGGCAGCCCCTGGAGAGTAAAAAAACTCGGCCTTTGTCGCATCGGCAGCTATCGCTGGACACGTTCTCGCCCGCGAACTTTCACCGCCTTGCGCCAGGGGTCCTCTGAGTCGCTGCCTATGTACATAGGTAAGCGAAACACGTTAAATTTCGATCGTCCTCTGTCGCGTCAGCGGCTGTCGCTGTGACACTGCCACCTCTGCGCCAGAGCTGCTCAAGAGTCGTGCCAGAATTGCTGCATTCCCTGAACTCCTCTTATCCTGTTGCCTCCCCTCCCTGCGCGGATACTGACTTTGCCCTATCGTCCTACTCGCTCAGAAACAGCTTAGACGGATCCTTTGAGCTCTACGCTGAGCAGCATACAGCTAGCCGTCTATTAAGAAAAGCCTGCTATGTTATGTTCGGTTCTGTCACGCTCTGTCATTCTCGTGTTCTGTTATGTCATGCTCTGTTGAGTGATGTTGTGTTATGTCGTATTCGTCGAAGGTGCGCTGTTCTGTTATGTTGATGTTCCGTTCTGGATGTTCTGTGATGTGATCGTTTCTGTTATGTTGTGCTCTATGATCTGTCATGTTTTGCTATGGCATGTTATGTGATGATCCGCCGACCCCTTGTGGGTCTCTAGGCGTGTGAGATTGTTCCCCCCCCATAGGCCCCCCCCACCCGGACCCCAAACCGGGAACTTGACCCCGCCCCCCCCGGCCCGGGACGGCCTCCCCCCGGCCCACCCCCGAACTCATCAGGGGGGGGGGGGCCGGCCTCCCCAGGCTCATTTTGGAGCTCCAAGACAGCCCGTCGAGCCTCTCAAAACACCCCCAAGACGGTCCAAGAGAGCACAAAATCCCCGAATGATCGATCCAAGATGCCCAAGATGGGCCCAAGACGGCCCAAGGAAGCGCCAACCCCAAGAGGCCTCCAACAACCTTGCGAAGAAAGGCCCAAGAGGCCAAAATCGTCCCATTCCTATAAAAAACATACACTTTTGGCATATAAGACTCTTCGGCCTTCACGGCGTTGAAAACGGCCCACGGGGCCGCCAAAACCGCACCAAAAGAGCCCAAGAGACAAACTCGCGGACCGCGCACGACCCGTCGGGGTCTTCCACCGGATACGGTTTGCTCGGACGCGAAATGCGACAGGAAAAAAAAGGGGTCGGCGGATGTGTTGTAAGCCTATAGAATCGATGATTTAAGTAGGAAGGCGCTTGAAGTAGATTGGGATCTGGGCATCCAGAAATACCTACTTTCAACGACCGGCATGTACATGTTGCAACGAGTTGGTCTCTGGCGAAGGACTGCACGTCATGGGGTGCGAGCGGCAAATGGATTTGCACTGGCAGTGCCAGTAGAACACTTTTCTCTCACGGCAATGCAACCCCAAGATTGCACACCCTCCGCGTGTCACTTGCAGCGCACACCTGGGAAAGCGTGAAACCAGAGAGGGAGGAGGAGAACGACCACGAAGAGGGGGGGGCGGGTGAGAACACTAGTGGCCCGTAAAACAGGGGTCGAGGAGTTTGCAGACGAGGATACTATTGTGCTGGAGACTTCAAACATATTCACAGCAGCGGTGCGGAGCACGCGACTTTCAGTGAATGTCGGACTCGCCGCCTGCAGGCAATAACTCGGATTGGACATCGAAAAGATCCGACGATGCTCCGCTGAGCTTGAACATGACCTTGCAAACTTGTGTCAACACCCCACCAAGAGCAACCCAAGCCACCACCATCATCGCCACCCACGCCAAGAGGATGAACAACGGCCACATCCACGTCTGTGTGGGTTCCAGCTGCTGTCCCGTGCATGCCGTGTACGACAGGGCAACGAGGTACCACCCGATTACCATGTAGCTAGGCTACGTCGAGAGTGTCACGAGCAGCGTGAACTTTCCCCCGTAGGACCACAGAATCGGGACCGCCGAACCAGCCGATTACTGGCGGTGATAAGGCGTATGGCATGCTTGGCTTCGTCCCTCCCCTGTTCACCCTGGGGGTTATGTGAGGAGGGCGGGAAGAACCTGGACCTCCAACGTCATAGTCCTCCACCACGTGCCCACCCAGACCTCGCAACCCCACACCACTCCGTGCGGACTTGCGCGTCGCGGGTAGTGATCTGAAAAGCTTTGGGGCCCGAGCAGAGCCTCAAGAAGAAAAACTTCGAAGAAACTGGCCTTTGTGCTTGCGCGAGGAACCAACAAAGGCTGGGTTCATCCCTCGTGTCGTCGCTATGGCGTGTGCCTCTAACATGGCCCCCACAGGCCCCCGAGAGGCCCCCAGGAGGGCCCCAAGAGGACTCTCAGAGGCTCCCAAGAACCCAGAGCAGGCCTCCAAGACGGATCCTGCCAACGACCCGCGCATGGTGGCGTAATGGGCCGAAGGCCACTAGATCCGCCGCTCCCTGTTGACTTGCCACAGGGGTGCACGGGCGTGCCAAACTTTCGGTAGTTTCTTTGTCCTGTGTAAAACTGCCCAAAAAACCTTCGGCCGAATGCGCCGACACGGAATAAGGATCCGTAAGCTTCCCAGGTCGTCGGTTCTCCCGCTCCAGACGGCCCGAAGATGACCTCCAAGACGGCCAAGACGGTCTCCAAGACGGCTACGACGGCCCCAAGAGGGCCCAAGATGGCCCCAAAATGTCTCTAGCCAAGAGACCTCCAGGAAGACCCGAAGAGGCCAATATCATGTTGTCTCCTTAGCGAGATAGGCTGGGTAGATAGCTTGGCTGAGCTCTGGCCGAAAAAGCAGGCTGCGGAGGTGATTCGCAGTAGGCATTTTCGATCCGCCGCCCCCTGTTGCTTGCCGCAGGGGTGCACGGCGTGCTGGACGTTAGAATGGATCTCGGCCCAGCCCGCCGGCCAACCAGACAATTCGTTCTCCAGTGGCCTCCCCCGTTAAGATGGCCCCAAGATGGCCTCCAAGACGACTAAGATGGCCACTAAGACTGCCAAGATGGCCTCACGAGGGCCCAAGATGGCCGCAAGATGTCTCGAAGACGGCCCAAGATGCACCCAAGACGGCCCAGGATGGTCTCGAGAATGCCCGAGAGGCCCCCAAGATCGCGCCCAGAGCGCCCAAGAGGCCTCCAAGACGGCCCAATGATGGCACAAGAAACCCCCAAGAGGGCCCCAAGACTACCCAAGATGGCATCCAAGACGCCCAAAATGGTATCCAAGACGGCCCTGAAGCGCCCCAAGAGGACCCCAAGTCGGTCCAGAAAGGCCCCAAGACGGCGTTCGACGAGGTCAGACGGGCCAGGAACGCCCTAAGACCGCCAAAGCGGCTCCCAGTCAGCTCCCAGAGGCCCCCACTCCAAGAGGCCCAGGAAAGTTCCCAAGAGGCATCTAAGAGGCCCCTGGGAAGCTCACAGGAGATCCCAAGAATGCCACAAGAGGCTCCCAGGAGGCCTCCTGCTCCCTTATCCTCCGTCTCCCCCCTTTCTTGCGGAGAGTGCGAACTTCCGCGCTGGTGGCTCAAGGGTAAAAGGCATTCCGCAGGCTATGAGCCCGCGCTTGCCCCCCATCATCCCCACATCCGTCGGGCCTCCTCTGAAGAGAACTACGCGCGCGCTTCGCGCGCGCTTGATCAAGTTCTAGTCCAAGGCATTTGCCTCATGCCTGTGGGAGGTATCTTGAAATCTGGGGTCATTTACACGTTTCTGAGGGGGCTCTCACGGGATCTGTGTTGAGGCCTTCTAGGGGGCCTCTTGGGTATCTTGAGGGCGATCTTGGGGGGGAGGGCCGCTGGGGACCTGTAGACTTCCCCGCCTTGGGCTCCTCTGGAGCCCTTCTTGAAAGCGTCTTGGAACGCCTTGGGAAAATCGCAGGACGTCTTGAGGCTAGCTGCACGGGCGTAGGCCCAAGGGCAACGCCGCGCCGGCCCACCATACTCGGAAAACGACGACGGCAAGGACACGAGCACAGAGATGAGAACAAACGACGAAGCGACAGGGGCGAGGAAAGAATCGCAGGGCCCCTGCTGGACCGCGCGCCCTCCGTGACGCCGTTTTCTGAACCCTGCAGCAGCCAGCGTGTCCTGCAGGGGGTAAACATACGCGGCCTGGAGGCACGCTGCGTGTCTGTGTGCTTCGATCTCTCGCGCGGGCTGAGGCCGTCGTAGGCCAGAGCACTTGATGGGCACAGCCCAGTACATTCGGCAAGAGCGTTGACTTCTCTACGCAGTGGCAAGCCACAGCTGGGAACAAATCCAGGAAGGCACCCGGGGAGGGCCTGGACGAACAGCCGCGGACATGCCCTCCCACTTGGACCCTTCCCCAGCGGTTGCCTGCCTGCTGCACGCTGGCGGTCGGAGGCGGCAGCCCTGGGGCCGGGGGGGGACGCCGCCTCGCTGGCCAAAACCCAGCATGCAGGGAGGAGGACCAGGAGGGAGAGCAATAACAGCACGAAGCAAGCAACCGCGCGAGGAGCGGTCTGGAAGCTGGGGTCTTCCGTGGAGCTCCCTACGGGGCCACGCAACACGTGAGGCGTGCGCCGAGACTGGCATGCGGTGGGCGGGGAGCCGTACGCGAGCCCTGCCACTGGGCCTTCGGTGGAGCTCGCTATGGGGCCACGAAACGCGTGAGGGGTGTGCCGACATGGACATGAGATGGGCGGGGAGCCGCATGCGAACCCTGCCACTGGGGCCTTCGGTGGAGCTCCCCATGGGGCCACGAAACGCGTGAAGGGTGTGCCGGAATGGACATGCGATGGACGGGGAACCGCATGCGAACCCTGCCACTGTGGCCTTCGGTGGAGCTCTCTATGGGGCCACGAAACATGTGAGGGGTGTGCCGAAAGGAGTGTGCCGAAATAGACATGCGGTGGGCGGGGAGCCGAATGTGAACCCTTCCAGTTTGGCCTTCGGTGGAGCTCCCTGTGTGGCCACGAAACGTGTGTTGGGAACCGAAAGTGACATGAGGTCGGCGGGGAATCGCATGCGAACCCTGCCACTGAGCCTTCGGTGGAGCTCCTTATGGGCCCACGAAACGTGTGAGGGAGGGGCCGAAGTGGACATGCGGTGGGAGGGGAGCCACATGCGAACCCTGCCACTGGGACCCTCGGTGGATCTCCCTAAGTGGCCGCGACACATGTGAGGGGTGTGCCGACATGGACATGAGACGGGCGGGGAGCCGCATGTGAATCCTGCCACTGGGGCCTTCGGTGGAGCTCTCTATTTGGCCACGAAGCGTGTGAGCGGTCTGCCGAAATGGACATGAGTGGGCGGGAAGCCGCATGTGAGCCATGCCACTGGAGCCTTCTGTGGAGTTCCCTACGGGGCCACGAAGCGTGTGAGGGGTGTGCCGCATTGGACGCGCGCAGGCAGAGGCAGGGGTGGGAGGAGGGAGTAGAAGGAGGGGGAGGCGAGGAGGAGAAGGAAGAGGAGGAGGAGGAGGAGGAGGAGGACGCGGGGCACTGTCCCTTCAAAACGAAGAGCCAATTTCAGAGGATAGTTGAGGAAAAACATTGGGATGTCGTGCCTCTCGGCGCCCTCGCCTGGGACCTCAGGCGCCCACTGAAGGCCGCCCGGTGCCGTCCTGGAGCAGCCTGGATGCTTTCGGAGGCTGATCCGAAGCCATCTTCGGGGCGTGTGGTGGGCCGGTCCGTGGGAGAAAAAAACACACACTGTGTGTGTGTGCTTGTTGTGTGTTATTTTCCCACAGTGTGTGTGCTTTTGTGTGTGTGTTGTTTTGTGTATGTGTTTTGTGTGTGTGTTTTCCCACAGTGTGTGTGTGTGTGTTTTTTTCCCACGAGACTTTCGTGGCAATGTCTGGGCCACCGGTGCGCCCACGGGGCCACTTAGGGGGGCCCCCGGAGCGGCCAGGCCACACTGGACCCTGGTCACGTGCCCGCCCGCCGCCCGCGGCCTACTCCGATATTTCTATGATATGATCATCATTATATATACGCAAACATACATACATACATACATAGATACATACATCCATACATACATACATACATGCATACGTACGTACGTACATACATACATACATACATACATACATACATACATACATACATACATGCATGCATACATAGATGCATACCTACGTACACATACATACATATTTAGAAAGAGAGAGACAGAGAGAGAGAGACAGACAGAGAGAGAGAGATGTGTACATATATGTGTATATATACATATACACTTATATATGTTTATAAGACTGGGGACTCCGAACAGGGCCCACCCACCCAACCCCGGGCGAACTACGGATTCCATGGGCTGCTCGGAAAGCCCCCCGGGCTGATCGGAGGCCCATGCAAAGGGTTCCTTCGATCTTACGGCCTTCTCCGAGGGTCCACAGATGCCTCCAATATTACCCGATATAACTCGCCAACAGCTCCAAAGCACACCAGAACCCACAAGGCCTCCGAATTTTCCCATCGGATCTTTAAATATTTGTGCGTCCTCGCCTTCTCGCGCTTCAACGCTCCAAGACGGACCAAGAAGCCCCCAGAAGGCTCCAAAAATTACCCAAGACGGCCCTCAGAAAACCACGAGAACGCGAAAACAGCCCCCAACACAACGAAAACGGGCCACGACAGCTTCAAGAAGGCTCCAAAAAAAAAACCAGGAAAGGGAACACGAACTCACATTTCGAACCTACCGCCTCAAAATCGCTCCAGAATCTTCCCAGGGACTCCCCCGTCGCGGCGGCCAGTCTCACTTCCCAGCCGCCGCCCTCCCCACCCCCGCCCTCCGCACGGACGGGGCCCCCCCAGGCGGCCCAGGAACGCCCCCCCAGGGAGACCCCCAAGACACCCCAGTTCCTCCCAAGACCCCCTTGCACGGCACAGGAAGCACCCAAAAAAGGCCTCGCACAAACCCATTGCAGCCCCAGAGCAGCCATGTTCCTCCTCCTCGTCCTCCTCCTCCTTCTCGTCTTTCTCATCCTCCTCCTCCTCCGCCTCCTCATCCTCCTCCTCCTTCTCCT